CTGGATGGGTGATAACTCTTACCAGCTTAGTCTCCAAAATTGTTTCAACTATTTTTAGCATATATATGTTGTTCCATCAAAAATTTAAATTTAGTTTTATGAAAAACGTATGCTGGTATTTTAACTGACTTTTTAATTATACTAGGTTTTCTCCTCCAGAGACGATTTGCATTTGTTTTTTGCAGGTACCTGACAGCCCTTCCAACCTGGATTCAATTTAAAATTGTTGGCTGGAGGTTCTGGATTATATGGTAGTGTGAATTTGGATCCGATATATGTAGGAGCTCTGAGCTATGGTTAGAAAATCACAGAGGAGATCTTCTGATCCACTGCCCATCTAGATAACAGAGTGGTTTAATTCCAGATCACTTTTATGATAAAAGCTTACTCTCTCTAGCTCCCATCCTTATCCAGAGTCTTCTAGAATTCTTATCTTGATCTAGTCCTAGAATTACTTCTCCTATTCCCTATACTTCTCATACCTGTCAAAGCAGAAACTCAGAGTCACTAGCATAGGCAGATTCCTAGGCAGGTTCCTAGGACAGAAGCCAGCTAAATACCCCTTTACTTCTTTGCATTCCTGGTTCCATTTCATTTTTAGCCCACAGATCCCCCTTTTTTTTAATCCACTCAAATACATATATATTTCAGTATTTAGCAGAATGAATATTCAGGATATTAAAAAAATCTACCACCTAATTTTTATGTTCGACTTATTTATTTTAGATAGTAATCTCCCTATGATTGTAGACTTGCAATTGTGGTTTGGTTTTTTTTTTTTTGGTACCTGGGATTGAACTCAGGACCTTGTGCTTGCAAGGCAGACAGTGGAACCACTGAGCTAAATCCCTGGCACTAGACTTGCAATTCTTTACAACTGTTTTGCTTTGCATATTTCAAGGCTATGTTTAAGGTCTACAAAAGGTCATGATTATATCTTCTTGGTAGGTTATTCCTTTAATTAATATATACTCTTACACGTTATCACTATTAAAGCATTTAATTTTTCATCTGTTAACACAGATAATCACCAATTTTCTTTTTTTTTCTGGTTTTATTATTGGAATCTCTAAAAAGAATATATACAGTTTTGTTTTTATTTAAATTAGTGTGTCTTTTAATAAAGAAGACCAATCCATTTATATTTACTGTGAATTACTCACATGTGGAAACCTACTTTTTGCTACTTATCACCATTTTCATTTGCTTTAATTTTTAAAAAACTTTATTAAGCTTTTCTATCTTCTACTGAACTGATCAGGTTTTCAATACAGTATCCTCTCCCCCTCTCCTTTTGTTGGTTTGAAGCTATATATTTTCATTATTTACCTTTTTGATTTTTTATTGTATATGTTTAGTTATACATCGATCTAAAATCATCCAAAGTTACTGACATTTCTATCTTCTATCTAAACATCATTTGGGCCTTAATGAATATATCCTCTCACTAAACACATCTCTCCCATACATTCAACCTATTTGTGGTTATCTAGAGCTACACTGCCAATTCTGCAGTCATTAGCCACATGCAGCTTTTTTGTTGTTATACGTTCTTTATTAGTCTATGACTATATTACATAATAATTACATTTATCAGGGGAAACTAGTACATATATTGTGTTTTGGGTTCCTGATATGTGGCTGCTATGACTTGAGATGTGCTCTAAGTGTAAAACATACAATGAATTTTAAAGATTTTGCATGAGAAAATGACAGTAGGGTATACTGATAGTTTTTAATATTGATTACATATTGAAATACTATTTTAGACATACTCAAATAAAATACATTTTTTGTTTGTTTGCTATGTAGTCCAGGCTGGCCTCAAACTTGTGGCAATCCTCCTGCCTCAACCTCACGAATGCTGGGATTACAGGTGTGAGCCACCATTCCTGGCCAATAAAGTACATTATTAAATTAACTTTGCCTATTTCTTTTTAAATGTAAGCACTACAAAATTAAAATTCCATATTGGTTAATATTACATTTCTATTGGCTGGTGTTAATCAGAGGTTTAGTGTTAATTAGAGGTTTAGTTTTTGTTTTATTGGGGATCAAACCCAGGGTTTTACACATTCTGGGCAGGCACTCTATCATGGCTACACCACCAGCCCTATACTTTTTTTTTGTTTGTCATTTTCTGAGATAGGAAACCTATTGTGATGCCTAGACTGGCCTTGAACTATAGGTCTCAAGTGATCCTCCTGCCTCAGCCTCCCAAGAAGCTGGGACCACAGGCCTGTGCTACCATGCCTGGCTTAGTTAAAACTGTTTTAAAATGTGTCCCCTTCCCCCCAAAGTTCCTCCAAATTATACTGTTTATGTTATTGATAACTTGTAACATTTTACCTAATTAAAATTCTTCAATTTTAGTAGTTTACCTGGTTATAATATTAAATACATTAACATTACTCCACTTTCTCCTGATAGCAACTGTTACTGATTAAGAAATCTGTTAATCATCATAATTCTTTAATTTGGCATCTCATTTTAGCGGCTTTTAAGACTTGCTTCTGATCTTTGATATTCTAGAGTTTCAGCATAAACAGCCTAGATTTGGTTTTATCTTTACTTAAACTGCTTGACGCTCGAAAGTGAACTTTTGATTTGTGGGCTCTGGCCTTCTCAATACTACATATTCTAAGTGATTATAAAATTAGTTTTCTATCAATTTCTGTGTTTTCTTCTCCTGAAACTTTTTATATACATTAGTCTATCAGTTAATTCTCCATCTTTTAACTATTCATATTTATGATCTTTTTTTCTGTTTTGGTTGGAATTTTTTAGTACTATTTTGCAAACCACTAATTCATTCAGTGATGGTATACAGGGTAAAGCAGAGCTTATCTACTAAGTTTTTTATTTCATTGCTGGGGATTGAATACAGGTCCTCATAAGCATGCACTCTATCTCTTAAGATATACTCCAGTTCCTAAAGAAATTGGGCCATTCCCCTTCCAGTTCCCTTATCACATCCCACTGGTCACTGCAGCGCTGGAGATCAAATCAAGGGAGGCAAGCTACATTCTCCAATCTGCCTTATTACTCCTGGGCTTTTAATATACCAACTATAGTTTTACTTTCCAGGTGTTCTAGTTGATTCTTTATTACATTAACCTGTTCTTGTTTTACCTCTCTTGTTTTATAATGTTGAGTTCTCTTTAATTGGAAAGTATTCTTATTTCTTTGAGCATCCTAAAAGGTCTGAAAAGTGTTTTCCAACCAATGGAATACTATGCAGCCGTTAAAAAGAGTAAGATTCTCCCATGAATATGAATATGGAATGCTTTCTAAATATGTTCAGCAAAAAAGGCAAGGCATACAATAATATGTGTAGAATGCTACCATTTATATAACAGTATATATGTGTATATATATATATATATATTTATACATGCATAAACTATCTCAGAAAAGATATCAATAAATCGGTAATAGTGGTTACCTCTGGGGAGAGAAACTGGGTGGCTAGGCGACAGAGGTGAAAATAGACTTACTTTTCACTGTTTACCCTTTTGTACCTTTGAATTTTGTATCACGTGCATGTATTACCTAGTCAAAGAAAAAATAAATAATTTATTTTTAAAAATAAAGTCTTTGTTGGACTACTCCATAAAATCAATTTCATCCAGAAAAATGCTTGTTCTGGTAGTTGATATACTAATATTACATATCTTCCTGAATTTTGGTTATAGGCTTAAGTGGGAAACGTGTTTAACTTTTTTTCTCTCCTTCCTATTTGATGGTTTTGAGTTGTCTGGTCATCTGGACCTCTGGTTCACAATCAGGTTTCATAATGACACTTCAGGACTCCAGTTTCACGATACTGGAAATATCTCACACACATATTTGGTCATTGATTCAGTAATGGCTTCATTTTATTCCCGTTGATGAGACTGTCTTAAATCAGCTAAAACCTATAATCTCAAGTAGTGAACAGAGTTTTGTTTTTTTTTTTTTTCAGTCTTTCACAAATGAGACAGACATTTCAACTGAAGCTCTGCCTTCATGTAGTGATTCTGGCTCTGGTTCCTACCTCACATGAAATGCTTTAGGATCTTTTTAACTTGAAGGAACAAAACTGCTATATGTCAGAGTTAGACTGAAAACTCAGTAGGCCTATGGTGTCAGCCCTGCTCAAAGCTTTGTGTCTGTGTTCCATTTCTGTCCCACAGAGATGTTTATATTGTTTCAGAACCTGGTTATATTTTATGTGTTAATTTACTGTTCTACGTGTTTGGAGCAAAGTGATTATATCAAAACTCAATAATACCTTAAAGAGAATTTCCAAAGTTCTTCTTTTAGAACAGTATAAAAGTAACACAATCTCGTTTCAAGATGTTTAGAAAATAGAAAATTAATGATAATCCACCCATTCTGACTGCTTAGTATTTTAAAATATTTTTTTTAATCTTTCTTCTGTATCATTTCACATTTGCATAATATTTATCATGATTTTAACCTATGGTATCTCAAGTATTTGTCTGTTTTGCTATGTCTTTTATGACCATGATTTTAATGACTGCATATTAATCCATCAAACTGTTCAACTGTAATTTACTTCCCATGTTATTGAGAATTTAAAGAGCTTCCAACGTTACAAAGAAATTCTCTATGCATGTGATTTTTCCTCTCAGGATTTTGGATTTGACAGGTGGTGGTGTGGTGGAGAAATGTTAAGAACAGGAACGCCATGATTCTATGCAGATCTTTAGAACAAAAGCATTACAGGGCTAGCATAATACAAGGCTGAGGTTCATAATGATGATATATAGAGGAAGGAAAAAAAATCATGTGGAAGTAACAATGTATTTCTCTCAGAAAGATTCCAATTCAAAATGGCTAATGGTAAATTTTTAATTAAGGGAAAAAATTTTACAAGCAATTAGAATCACAATTATATATGTGAATCATGAAGCAATGTCGAACATATGTTCACTAATTTCCAAACAGAATACAGAGTCACAGTAATAAAGTTCACTTCTTCCTATAATACTAACCTGATATTATTTACACAGTCTTCATGAGCTTCAGAAAGTGTTTTTATGTGCTTTGAAGATATAGGATCAAAAAGCAGAACTTCAGTCTGTTCACAAGCCACTGTCAGTACTGACCTGAAAACAAATAACACATTTCTGTTGTTTAGTTTTCTAGCATTCTCTGGTTATTGATATTCATTTATTTATAATTACACAAACTATAGATGAACTTTTTACCCATGTTTATAGCAAATATTTAAAAGACTGATACTATCCGCTGTTATTATGAATACTACTAAATGGTATTCTGTCTCATACACATGATGGGGTACAGGTTGGAATGACTTATGTTTGGACAGCATATCTAAAGTATCTGTCAGAAATTTAATCATGTATACTTTTTTTCTTTTTTGGTACCAGGGACTGAACCTGGAACCTTGAGCTTGCAAGGCAGGCAGTGGCACCACTGAGCTAAATCCCTAGCCCTCATGTATACCTTTGACCCAGTAATATTTTCTGGAAATACAATCAAGAGAAATCAGGTTTAAATACAAAGTATGTATAAAGGTATGCTTTATCATAAAAAGAAACTGAAAGAGGGATTGATTTACTAAGTATAGGGTATAACATTAGTTCTCCCTTATTCGTGAAGACTATGTCCGAATATCTCTACTGGATGCCTGAACTGAAAATTATACCAAACCCAATAATACTGTTTTCCTATATATGCACACCTATGATAAAGTTTAATGTGTAAATTAGGCACAATAAGAGATTAACAATTATGATTTAAGAGAGCAACTATAAATAAATTATGTCAACGTGGTCTATCTCAAAATATCTCATTGTACTATAGATATTAGCAACCTCAGCACATTTCCTTCTTTTCCTTTATTAAGTTGAGAATTTTCACTTGAAAGACATATCTTCAAGCTTCTCTTTGTCAAAACTGCCAGAATTTCTATTCTTGTGTTTTGTGACTATTATTACAGGAAATAAGGATTACTTGCACACAAGCATTCAGATACTAGAACAATTGATCTGATAACTAAATTAGCTACTGAATGACTAATAGATGAGTAGCAGTATCACATAGATAAACCATACTGGTAAAGCAGAAGAACTAGGTAATGAGAGATTTCATTAACTATGAAGAATTAAGTGAGCAAGGGGTGGTACTGCATGCCTGTAATCCCAGAACTCTGGGAGCATGAGGCAGGAGGATCTCGACTTTGGGTCTAGCCTGGAAAATTAAAAAATTTAGTGAGACCAAATCTCAAAGTAAAAAATAAAAATGGAAATAAATAAATAAATAAATAATAAAAATGGGCTGGGAATGTAACTCAGCGGTGGAAGGCCTTTGGTTCAATTGCTATTGAGGAAAAAATAAGAATGATGTGAAATTTAAAACAGGAGTTGTTTATTTCTGGTAGTTTTCATTTAATTATTTCAGACTACAGTTGCCCATGGGTAACTAAAATCTTGAAAAGTGAAACCACAGATAATGGGAAATTACTGTACTATGAACTCTAAAACATATGCTCAAATAAAAATGTAATTGCAGAAAAATATGCATATATGAGAAAACTTAGGGAGAGTATCATATACAATTATATATTTATGTATTTCTTCACCAGTATCTATAACATGTTCTACAGAAAGGTGTGGCTTATATACATCCAGGACAATTAGATATAGTCAAATTTATCTGTCTTTTTCTTTATGGTATTTTAGCTTTGACTTCTATTTCAGGTCTTACCTATTACAAAGTTATATTTTTTAAAACTTTTATGAACTTCATTATTTGTTGTTATTCATTGTTCTACTTAAATCTTAATTTTCTGTGGACATTCTCTTTCAGCTCTTATTTTAGAACTAGCAAGTAATATCCTGTGTCTCTGAAACTTCAGGTCTTCTCAATTTACAGTACCCATAACAAATGGAATTTTATGCACATAAGATGAAAGTAAGTGGGATTTCAACACTGTGGGAAGCTGAAATTGGAAGACTGCAAATGTGAACCCAGCTGGGGCAATTTAACTAGACCCTGTCTCAAATTTTAAAATTTTTAAAAAGATAGGGGAGGGCTAGGGATGTAGGTCAGTGTGAGGGCCTGGGTTCAATCCCTAATTCTGAAAAGAAAAAGGAAGAGTACAAAAGACAGAATTTTAAATAGATAAACTTTTTGATAAAAGTGGGAGATGGAAAAAATCTACTACATTAAAAGCTTTTCCATATTTAGTAATCCTAAAATTATACTTTAAAGGGTATCAGTATAAACTCTTCTTTAAAGTATCTGGACTTCAAAGTTTAACAACACCTCAAAAAATTCTACCATGGTTTGAATTTTATGCACTGGAAACATCTCCAAATCTCATACATTGGAAATACGGTCTTCAATGAAGCAGGGTTTAGAGGTGGGATCTCTGGGAGGTGATCGGGTCATAAAAGCTCTGTCCTTATGAATAGGTGAATCCTCTCAGAAATTAGCAGATTAATGGATTACCATGCCAGTGGCTTTGTTATGAAATAAGCTCTCTGACTTCCTTGCTCTGTCTCATCATATGAGACACATTATGATGCACCAAGAAGGCTCTCATCAGACACTAGTGCCAAGCTCTTGGACTTCTCAGCCTTCAGAACCATGAGTTAATAAGAACTGTATTTTTTAGAACATAGCAAGTCAATGGTATTCAGTTATAGCAAGAGAAAATAGACTAAGAGTTTTGTATTAGGTAACTATCATTAGTAAAAATATTCAAGTTAATATGTGCAATTCTAGAAGATATAAAAATAGCACTTCTCACTTTGTGAAGGCTGAGGCCAAAGGACTGCAAGTTTTGAGTTCAGCCTGCAAGTCAGTAATTTAGGGAGACTGTCTCAAAATAAAAATTTTAAAAAAGGGTTGGGGATGTAGCTCAGTGAGAAGGTACTGGGTTCAATTCCCAGGGGAGAAAGGGGGTGGTGAGATAGAGAGAGGGAATAAATAAATGTGAGAAGCCACTTTTTTTTTTTTGTTAGACAATAGAGCCATGGAATGAACTTACTTTTTTTTTTGTATTGAGGATAGAACTCAGGTCCTTGCATTTGCAAGGCAGGCAGCAGAACCACTGGGAATGAACTTCTTTCCCCCTTTTAAGTAAATAAATCAATAGTCCAGGAGGTTCTTAATGTAAATGAGTTCTATTAAATTCTTATAAGAGTTGTTTTATTTTAATCCAATTATAATGTATGTGTGTTTGTGTGGGTGTGTGGTACTGAGGATTGAAGCCAGGGTCTACATCTCCAGGACCAATTCCCCTTTGAGACATAGTCTCACTACACTGCTTAGGCTGAGCTTGAATTTGCAATCCTCCGGACTCAGCTCTTATACAGGCATGTGCCACCATGACCAGCTGTAACATTTATATATATATATATATGCAATAAATATGTAATTTTAATTGATATAATTTGTTTCAATATTAGTTTTTTCACTGGCTTGTAATACCACTTTTACCACATTATCACGTTTTTAGATTCTATGCAATACCACACTATCTTATTTTCTAAAAGGTTTATAGTATATTTGCTATATGGAAAAGCAAGTCCCCTTCACTGACTTGTAAACTTTTTTTTTTTTTTTTGGCTAATTCCTTAATTAAAAAAATTTTTTAAACATATTTTTTAGAATGAATTTTCAATATAGTATGTCATGCTGGGACTTTAAGGGATGCAGTGACTTTACAGATTATTATTATTATTATTATTTTGGTACCAGGGATGGAAGTGTCCTTGAGCTTGCTAGGTACTTTACAGATTATTTGGGATTTCTTTTTTCTTTCAGATAGGATCTTGCTATGTAGTTCAGTTGAGGCTGGCTTTGAGCTTACTATGTACCCTAGGCTGGCCTCAAACTTGGAGTGAAGCTCCTGCCTCAGCCTCCCAGTGCTGGGATTACAGCGCATGTACCACTATGTCTGGCTTACTTATGCATTTTTTGTTTTTTTTTCCAGTGAGGAGAATCAAATCAAGGACCACAGGCCTGGGTAGAATTTGTATCATACATACAATATTGAATTGTCTCATTCATTCCTTCCCACATATTCAAGATGTTCTTAGCAAGAGGGTCTTAGCAGTGTTCGGACATTTGATCATCCTTATATACTTAGAATGAAATTTTCAAATTATGTATATATCCACAAAATCCTGTTGTGGATTTTAATATTACATTAATTCTACAGAAAAGCTTGAACAGAATAGACATCTTTACAGTATGGAGACTTCCATTCCATGAATATATTTATTAACGCTCTTTATTGAAGGCTCCTGTAATTATCCCAATAAAATTGTCTATTTTGTTGAATGTAACTGACAAATAAATATATGGGCCAGGGACTTAGCTCAGTAGTGCCACCACCTGCCTTGCAAGCAACAAGGACCTGAGTTTGATCCCCATACCCCCCCAAAAAATAATAAAATAAAAAAGATTTTATATATACATATTACCTATGTGTGTTGTGAAATGATTACTAGACTCAAACTAAATGATATTGACTGCTTTGGATTGATTTGTCTATTCTGGGCCTTTTGTGTTTCTACATAATTTTTCATTGGAATTTATACAAGGACTACACTGAATCTGTAGATCACTCTTGGTAACATGGCCATTTAACATTAATTCTGTTTATTCATGAACATGGGAAGACTTTTCATCTTCTAGTGTCTTCTTCAATTTCCTTCTTCAGTGTTCTGACCTCCTCAGAGGTCACTGTCTTTCTTTTCCAAAAAGGTAAAGCTGAGATCAGGCAGAAAAGCTTTCTGAGAGGATTGGCTCGGACTTCTGGGTCTGTTCCAGTTGATTCAAGATGAATTGGCTTGTATCGATGAAGTGCTCAACGCAATTCACAAAACAAACCTCAGCCCAACTGTTCAACTTTGGCCCAGGCTTGTCCATGCACCTTTCCCCCGCAAAATTCAGTCATTTGGTGCACCAGCTGCTAGAAGCACTGCTTCTGAGTCTCCACCTCAATGAAATGCTGTAACTGTGGGTTTACTATGCCCTAACTCACTGCAGAAGACAAGGAGGAATCCATCCCAGCTCAACCACACTTGCTGAACTAGTTTTTTTCCATATAGGTCATGCCTATCTTGTTACATTCATTTTTGGCTACTTAATATTTCTGTAAATTTTTTAAAACTATGTTTTGTTTTCTGATAATATGAATTATCAGTCTCACTATTTTTTAACGTTATCTATAGATTAAGGTTTTGTCAACAATCATATCTACAAACAATTGTTTTTTCTTTTTTAAAAATACTTTTCCTTCCACTTACCTGCTACACTGGCTAGAACTTTCAGAATATTGTTGAACAGAAAATATTAATAGGTACTCTTACCTTGTTTCTAATCTTCAAGAATACCTTCAATATTTTACCACTAAATACTATATTGTAGAATTTTTGTTGTCCTGTTTTTTGTTTTTGGAGGGTCTTATTATTGGATTAAGGAAATGCTTTTCTACTTTTAATTTGGCTGTTACATTTCCCATGAAAATTGTTAAATTGTGTGAAACATTTTTCAGCATTTACTGAGCTACTCCTGTATTTTTCCTTTAATATGTTAAGGAAGCAATTTATATACTAATTTATTTCCAAATTTCAAATCAACCGTTATTGTATCATTCTGTTCTAGAATTTCCATCCTTTTTTTCTCCTTGTGGTACTGGGGATTGAAGTGGGGCCATCACACTGAAATATATCCTCAGCCCTCTTTTATTTTGAGACAAAGCCTTGAAAGGTCACCAAATCGCACAGGCTAGGACCAAACTCAATTATTCCTGGGCTTCCGAGTGGTGGGATAATAGGTGTGCAAAATGACACCCAGCTTGTTCTTTTTTTTTTCTTTTCTTTTTATGGTTTCTAGTTCTTTGCTAAATTTCTCCATTTTGTCTTTTAATTACTTAATCATATTATAGTTTTAACACTGGGCTCTCCTAAGGATTTACTTATATGGCGTAGCACTTCTGTTGGTTTTCATAGTATGCCTAGTTATTTTGAGTGCCTGTCACTGTACAAAAAAAATTACAGAAATAATTTAAAGCACTAGATTGTTATATTTGTTTTCCTGCAGTTTTATATGTCCAGGGAGAATTACCACATGAGTTTATTGGGCTTTTCTCTCTTCAAATTTTTCACCTCCCCTCCTAGTGTCTTTACTTTCTTCAGAAACTAAGTAAATATCTGGCATTTTCTCTTTAAGTTTCATGCTACTACACTTCCTTCATATTTTCAATCTCTGAATTTTTATGGTCTGATTCTGGATAATCACTTCTATTTTCAAAAATACTAATTTTCTCTGTGCCTAATTTATTCTCATAAGGATAGCATCAGAAAATCTCATCTAGTTTAACAAATAACATTATAAAATTTACTTTTTTTAAATGTCAATTTAGGAGGTAATATATTTATTTTGACAATCTTATCACTTAAAACATTTTTTAGAACTCTTTGGAAATACCTTCTAGTCTATATATCCTTTTATTTCTTTTTTAGTACTAAATTACTTCTAGTCTGGTCTCTGTTAAATTTTTAAATTTAATTCTTGCTTTCTATGTCATTATCCCTTTTCTACATTGAGAAGTCCTTGAGATTGTGATTACTGCATCTAGTAAGCTGGTTTAACTCAAATATAACTGAAGAATGTAAGAAATTATCTCTTGAGTTTGATCCCTGTTACCAAGAAAAAAGAAAAGGAAAGAAAAATTATCTTCCACAATACATCTGTCTATAAAAATGCTTCAGGCCAGGGATTTAGCTCAGCAGTTCGGTGCCCTGCCTTGCAAGTGCAAGGACCCAAGTTCAAGCCTCATACAAAAAAAAAAAAAAAAAAAGGGCTTCAGCTCCTCAATAAATGTTGGGCATGCTACTAGATAAAGTAAGCGTACTGAAAAATTAAAACACTGAACTATTTTCACCTTGACAAAGATAAAAAAAAAAAGGGCAATATGCAGTACTGGCAAGGATATGGGGAGTTTTTAGACATTTTTGTATGTGTAAGACAGGAATGAGAAATGGTATGATCTGCATTGACAGCTATTTAAAACTATGCATCAAAAATCATAATTTTTGATTCATTCTAGGGATTTAATCTAAAGATATAAATCTAAGATATTTGTTCACAGGAATTTACATACTATTGTAGAAATTATTTAAAAGTAGTTCACAATATACTAGAAAAAAGCAGGCTACAAAATAGCATGATTACATGTTTATATTTAAATAACCATTAAAAAATTCCTTAGAATTCATATAATCTTCAGGATTATAAGTGACGTTTAGTTCATTTATTGCCTAGGTTTACCACAATAAGCATATACTGTGTGATTAGATTACTGAATTATTTTAAGTACCAGAGTACCTAATTACCTTAAAAAAGGTAACCAAAAGACAAATGCAGGAGGAATGCACATTTGAGGCCAGCCATAGCAATTCAGGGAGACCCTATCTTAAAACAAAAAAATAGAAAGGGCAAGGAATACAGCTCAGTGGTAAAGTGCCCCTAGGTTGAAAAAAAAAAAAAAAAGTTTCTGGGAAAATGCAGTCCAAATTCAAACAAAGAATTCTTCATAATATATCCCCTCATTCCAAATGCCCTGTCAATTTAAATTCAATCTTCATAATTCATCCTATCACCACCACTCTCTACCTAAAATTGTTCCTCTAAAGGGTAGAAAGTGCAACTTCTTAAATCCTGAAAGTATAAGTAGAAGGCTGGGAGGAGAGGAGCCATGATATAGGGAGGAAAGGAAATGAATATTTATGAGAAACAGACTCAGGGATCGGGCTGGGAAGTTTTTAGGAACAGAGAATGAAAGGAGGAAAGCTCCATGAAGCTTCAGCAAGTTTCTCCTCTCACCAGTTTTCTCCCTTACTCAGGTACGCACTCACTGCTACAAGTTCCATCAAATTGCTAAAAGACCCTAGCACCAGATGTGATAAGAAAAAAAAATTTATCAGTGTAATGCAATACTGCTAATCCATTCACAGTAATTCCTGATTCTATTCCTTTGCTTTCCTTAGCATATTTTAGCTCTCCTCAGGAAAAAAAAAAAAAAAAAAAAAAAGTTTTTAGCTTCTCTAACATGATATATTGCTTCTTTCCTACCAAAGGTTTTTTTGATATACCATATTTCATCTAGAATACTTATACTCCCCCTCTCCAACCCTATAATGACTCATTTACATTCTACTAATTTAATTTCTCTGATCTTGGTTCAACTGTCCCTTTCTCAGGGAAATATCAAATATCTTAGTCCACAACAGACTCCTTCAAGATTTTATCTCAATTGGTAAATATGCATTATGTACTATTTAGTGTGATTATCTAATATCTAATTTAACTGCTAGATCTCACTCAATGAAAGCAGTGGCATTAGCTAGTTTTGCTTGACATTGTTACTCCTGCACTTGCAACACAGTGCTCAAAAAGCATTTGCTGAATGAGGGAATGAATGAATTAATGAAATAAATCACTAGCAACCCAGATCCTTGGTGTGGTAAGAATTATATTAACTATGTCATTTTGTGGTGGAAATATGTTCACATTTTTCCTTTAATCGTTGTTAAACTTGTATACTCAAGACAAAGTATACTATACAAATAATACAGTA